ACATACACACACGCAGAATAATGCCCCCCTCGTCTTCACCCCCCCTACATAAAATAAGAGAGCCACACAGCCTGCACATCCCCTGGTGATCCAGTGGTTGATTATTAAGGTCTGGTGCAGACCTTACTAATCATTCCTTACAGCTGGAGCTCAGAACTGTCAGAGCTCCGGTCGAAAGGAATAACTGGGTGCCATAGCTGACGGGAGCAGCTATGCGGTCTGCATCTGACAGAGATGTTCCCACAAGTCGGGTGTGGCGTACCTAACTTCACAGCTGGATGCGGGACGAATGGTATCGGTTTAAAGGCTGGAATTGGCCCGCGGGCTAGTACTTTGAGACCCCTGGTTTAGGGGGTTGCACCCCAGAGTCTTTCCTTCCTTTAGTTGGTAATAGACCAGCTTTTTCGTCTGTGTACCATCAACATCAGGTGTAGGTTTTGGCTATTATTTTTAAAAAGCTGCTAGTAACTTATTTACTATTTTGCACTTTTATCCATGTAGCCCCTGTCAGCTCCTACATGCTTAGCTGGGTGATTTAAATCTGATTTCTCTTTGGTTTATTAAGGGACACATGATTCTTGAGCAACTGGGTTATACTGCCGCCTACAGGAGAATTGTACTGTGGAAACTAAACTGTTGGCCAATACTTTTTATAACTCCTCCCTTAGCTAGTATGTTTTTTTTTCTAGTGTTCTAGAAGGATGGACACTGATCTCAAAAATGCTAGGGAAATTCTTGAAACAGTTATGCTGGTGAATTCGGACAAGTCTTGCTAATTGTGTAGTCTCCACCAGTGTAGCCAATGATCACCGATTTATCTCAGTGGGCATGGATTCTCCTAATGATATTGATACTGGGCTCCGCAGGGGGAGTCTGGAAGTACCCTCTGTGTGCTGGGTCCCGCTTAGTGCTTTCCAGGCTAAATTCTGGTTTGTCACTGTGGTGTGCTTTCCAGGTCAAGAGCCTTGGTGATGCGTTGCTTGAAACTGTCTCTACAGACTTGCTTTACAATGTTAGTGGCTGTGACTTCAGGGGTTGTCTTGGGATTATTATGCAGATTTTAAATTTCTCCCCTATCCTCTCCAATAGCATGGAAGGTCACTGTCAGCAAGGTTCATCAAACTAAGTGGAGTGTCACCCTTCATGTCCTCACAGAAAGCAACGGGAAAGCATCTCCCTGCTACTGCTCCAGTCTTGTGGGTCCAGGTCTGTGTTCAGTTCTTGCTGCCCACCTACAGTGGTACTTGGTCTGTTGGGCTTTACTTCTACCAGCTGCCCAGATTATGTGAGTGCCAAGACCTAGCCTCCCATCTTGAGCCTGCTAGTTGCCTATCGCCATTGCAGTTTCACCATGTCTGAGGTGGCGAATGGGATTGTGGGTCATCCCAGCAGTCTTCCTGTGGGTCCTGCTCTGTGTGCACCGCATCCTTTTGAATGTGGGGACCTTCACAGTGTAGAGTCCTGTTTGCCCCTGCTGCTGACCTTGGCCCTCTCTTCAGAGGCCTTGTCAAAGGAGGTTCTGTACCCATTGAGGGGGGGAGGGGTCCCTTTGTCCTCCGTTCTGACACTAGAGGTTTTTAAACATGGAATAGTATATAGAAATGGAGCAAAGCTGCATAGGTCAGCATCAGTAGGTGGTGGTGGGGGTGCCTACAGAAGAATCTGATTGGACATGAAAGAATCACTTAAGGGTACTGCTTTATCTGCATCTATTTTCAAATCCAATTACGACTGTGCCTAATTTTCACACTATATGGAGGCCAAATATGATCAGAACTGTAGAGCTCAAGCAAATTTTCAGCTGCGATGCACCAGATTATCACTGTGTACTTGAAAGTTTTGACATTTTACCAACTATGGGAAAAACAATTGTTCAGATTGTAATTAGAATATTGCTATCCTTAACAGACAGTACCTCCCACGGAATCCATGTCCAACTCCTCAATATCACCATCAGATGCCTCCACCTCATTCAGACACAGTGGAATTCTACCAGAGACTTTCTACGGAAACTCTTTTCTTTATCTTCTACTACCTGGAGGTATGATAAGTCACAATTTTAAATAATTGCAATTAGTACTGAAATGCTTTTTTCCCCCCACACATATATTATAAAAGGCAAATATTTAATATTGTCACTGGTAATATCTGAACTTTTGAGCATATTTAGTAACACTGTGCTGTCAACTAACCTATAGCAAGCCAGTTTACTGTAATACGGTCTGCTTTATTGGATATTGTGCAGTACTGGATTTTGCACAGAAATTCTCCCATAACCCCCACTGCTACCTGTTTTGAGAGATTTTAATTCCATTCTTTAATTGCTTCTTTTTAGTGGAACAGATAAACACACATACACACGCGCGCACACACATACAAGCTTTCGAGAGTGAACCTCTCTTCTTCAGGTCAGAAGATTGCTTCTGACCTGAAGAAGAGAGGTTCACTCTCGAAAGCTTGTCTTTTATATATTTTGTTAATCCAATAAAAAAGGTATCATTGCACACTGCAATACTGCATTTTTGTCTTTTTTGACATCTTGTCTACTGGACTAATACGGCTTACCATATTACCATACTTATATTTGTGTGTGTGTGTTTAGGGCTGGTAATGATTAAAATTTACTTACTTATGTGTGTCTGGGAACCAGATGTGAACTGGCCTGAGAGGAGGATCAGGATGTCCAGAATGTTGAATGGCGGCTGATATAGTGCCTGAGGCTGCCGCCATTCAACATACATTCTGGACATCCTGATCCTGATTCTTCCGCACCCCTAAATAAAAGCTATACAAAACTTCCAAAGCAGACACGTCATTTGGGAAAGAGATACCCATAAAAGTGCCAGACATGTATGGCAAGTGCATATTAACATATAAACTAGTGTACGTTAGGTAGGTATGAGCCATCTGTGTAGGCCATTTAAATCAGCAACCATATATTCAGAACCAAAAGAGAAAGAGATAGTGAAGAATAAAGAAAAGGAAATGTTTTTTGGGGTTTAGTTGCACTTTTCATTGACTGTAACACAAATAGTTTTGTTTCTACCTGTTAAATTAGATTTATCTCTCATCTATTCCCAATATTAGTTGGACAGAAGCCTTGAAGCATTCTGAAAAGTAATTGTTCAGTTCAATAAGAGTTCATGATTGAGTACATCATATCCCCTGGTCCTCTTTGATTCCCAGGTGCTCTACAGCCAAAAGCCCCCGGAAGTAATTATAGGTTAACTGTTGTAGTATGACTGGCCTAAGACAACTTATTGAAATTGGAATATTACCTGTTCATGGTATCAAATCGAGGCGGGTCTCTGTATCAGGTGGCTGCTGCTGGGTCCTCGCACCTGAGGCCCCTGTGCTGCCCCAGTATTTGCCTGGTAGTTCCGCCACTGCAGGTAACGAAGGGAATGGGGAGGAGTCCGTTGACGTCACGGACATCGACGTCAACGGATTCCTCCCTCCTTCCCTTCGTTACCCATCACGGACAACTACATCACCCGTCTCCTCCCCCCTTCCCTTTGTTAGCCAAAAGAGCCACTCGGGGAGGTGGGGAGGAGTCCGGTGACGTCGATGTCCGTGACATCAACGGATCTCCGATGGAAGCCGGACGGAGAGGTGAGTACTTCTTTAAACTAGCTATAAAAGACAAGCCCCCTCCCCCAGTACCCGTTCAATAACAATCTGAGCGACAGGCCACCAGGGAAGGGAATGTATGCCGACATGAGTATAAGCGAGGAAAAGAAAATTACGGTAAGTATGATAACAATTTTCCCAATTCCTGGCTCAACTCATGTCGGCATACCTACGGTATATAGCAAGCAAACTCCCTCATGGGCGGGTAAAAAACACTATAAAAACCACACAACATCACACCCATGTGCTGCAAAGTAAAACAAAATTATTGCAACAGAGCAGAGGAAAGTACGCCTGAGCCAAAGTTGGCCCACCTGGACGCTGCCACGTCCAATTTGTAGTGCCGTACAAATGTGTTCTGCGAAGACCACCTCGCGGTCTTGCATATGTCCTCGATTGAAACCTTGGCGTATGATGCCCAGGACGTGGACACCCCTCATCGAGTGCGCACGAACTTCTACTGGAGGAGTAAGGCCCTGACTAGTATATGCTGATTTGATCTTTGCTTGAATCCAAGTAGACAGGATCTTTGGTGATGCCTCCAAACCTCTCCTTGCCCCTCTAGGCAGTATGAATAACCTATCGGACCTGCGGAAGCCACTAGTCCTCTGTAAATATTCCCTTAACAGGGCAACTAGATCCAGAGCGAGTAACTGGTCCACCCCTGCACTTTGCTGCAGATTCTCACAGCCGGGCAAGATGATCTCCCAATCTGAATGGAAGGCAAAGGCAACCTTTGGCCTAAAGTCCGGAGATGGCCTTAAGATCACCCTGTCCTCTAAAAGGATACAAAACGGCTCTTTATAAGATAGCGCAGCCAGCTCCGAAACACGTTTAACCGAGGTTATGGCTATTAGGAAGACAAGCTTTTGCGTAAGACTCCGTAAGGATGGGCCGCCAAGGCCCTTAAGACCAGGTCCCAGGATGGGTAGAGTGGCCTCATAAACCTGCGGAGAAGAGGGTTGTCTGCCCACTTTACGCCTGTAAAGGCCGACAAAGCCGATATCTGGGCTCTCAAGGACTTGTATGCCAGTCCAATATCTAATGCTGATTGTAGGAAACTCAATACATTTCACAGCTGAGCCTGTAAAGGCGGGAATCCATTCAGCTGTGCGAATGAAATAAATTTCTCCCAAATCCGGGTATAGGTGGCATTGGTAGACAGGCCTCTTGATTGTAACAAAGTGCTGATCACCTGGCTTGACAAACCCTGGGTCCGCCATCTCGAGGATTCAGCAGCCATGCTGCCAGATGCAAGCGCTCGGGATTGGGATGTTGCCACTGCCCCTGGAGCAGGAGGTCGTCCTTGCTCGGAAAGAACCATGGAGGTACCACCGCCATCTGTTGCAACAAGGTAAAATTAGGATCATCCGACTCCCGTCTCGCTGAATCTTCAGTAATACCTTGAGTGCTAACGGTAGGGGAGGAAAAAGATATGCCAGAGGGAAGTCCCATATCATGGAGAATGCATCCTGGGCTATCGCTTCGTGACAGTTGTGCCTGGACACAAATCTCGGCACCTTGGCATTCTACCGAGTTGCCATAAGATCGATCAGTGGAGTTCCCCATTCCCGGAACACAGGTTGCAGGTATCTTGCGTTCAACTCCCACTCCCCGTCGTTCGGGAACACTGCTCAGATGATCCGCCAGTGTATTGTCTACCCCGGGTAGGTAGGCTGCCGTCAAGGCATGCACATTCGTCTCGGCCCACGAGAAGATCTCGTTCGACAGACACAGCAGGGGCAGGCTCCTGGTCCTGCCCTGCCTTATGATGTAAGAGACAGCTGTCTTGTTGTCCATCACCTTGACTTGTTGGTGTTAAAGTAAAGGTTCAAAGGCCCTCAGAGCCAGCGAGGCCGCCTTCAATTCCAACCAGTTGGACTGTGTCGACACCGGGCCTTCCCATCGACCCTGGACCTGATGTCCCATACAGTGAGCTCCCCATTCCTGCAGGCTGGCATCTGTAGTCAGGGTGATCCAGGTACCTAGCCCTAGAGGTAGCCCTTGAGAGAGGCACGGGGAATGCTTCCACCAGTATAACTTGCCCCGCATTGCCGAAGGCAGAATTATCTTCTGTCCCAAAGCTGCGTGGTTCCACTGCCGCAGAAAACAAGTTTGGAACTGCCGCATGTGCCATCGCGCCCATTGCACCACTGGGATACATGAGGACATCATCCCTAGCAGAACCATACATTCCCTGGCCTGCAAGGTCCGTACAGTGATAACTTTGCCGACACAGGCGGAAATCTCCGCCCTGCGCCGCACTGGAAGAAATACTCTGTTCGAAGTCCAAAATGACCCCTAAATATTCCATCCACTGAGTCGGGACGAGATGACTTTTCTTGGCATTGGTTAGCCACCCGAAGCGGGAGAGGGTCTCCAGAACCAAATCGCGGTGGACAAGTAGAGCCTGGCTCGAATTCCCCCAATACCAGGATGTCGTCCAGGTAGTGGAATACTTTGACTCCTTGGAGCCGCAGCAGTGCTATAACTGCTACCAACATTTTTGAGAAAGTCCGTGGAGCTGTTGACAGGCCGAACGGCAGGGCCCGAAACTGAAAATGATGTCCCGCTATCGAGAATCGGAGATATTTCTGATGACAATCCGCTATTGGCACATGGAGATAAGCATCCTCTAAATCCACGGATATCAACCATTCCCCTCGCTGAACCACCGAAATAATGGTCTGGACAGACTCCATCCTAAATGGGCTCACGTGAATAAAGGCATTTAACTGATTTTAGGTTGAGGACCGGCCGGTAGCCTCCTGTTGCTTTCTTCACTAAAAAGATGGAGTAAACACCTTGACCCCACTCTCCCCGGGGCACCAGGGCAATTGCCTGTTTGGCCAATAACTGCAATGTAGTCGAAGCAATTTTTTCTTCAACCGCTCTCGCGGCACAAGAGTGCTTGCAAAACATGGAGGGGGAAGACTGTTGAACGATATGCGATATCCGCTGCTGACAATAGTCTTGGCCCAGGAATCCCTTATCTCCGCCACCCAGGTGTCCCTGAAGGCCAAGAGTCTCGCACCTACAGGGGCAACCTGGGTGCGCGTACCTTCAAAATTGTTTGTAGCTTTGGCCGCTTGACCGGATTTAGCCTTAACATCTCGCAAGAGAGACGACTGAGCCCCTCTCCATTGGGGCCTCGAAAACTGTCTCCCGTGCCTGTATGCCCGCGCATCTCTGAATCTCTGTGAGCCTTGGCTAGGCCGAAAGGGCTGCTGCTTCCGTCTAAATCCCTGTGGAAGGAGGCCTGACTTGCCTCTAGTCACCCTCTTAATAGCTTCCTCCAATGTATTCCCAAATAGATTTTTCCCATCATACGGAATAGAACACAACGCCTGTTTGGAGGCCGCATCCGCCGTCCAATGCCGTAGCCATAATGCTCGCTTTGCCGTCACCGAA